TGGAGCAGATTGTAATATAATAAAACCAGAATTCAGTCAGTGGAGACACAATAGAATAAACAGGAGTGGAGCCAAATTTTGTGAGGACAGAAGCTTATCCAAATTAAGGGGACCAATTTAGGAGCCAAAATATAAAATTATAAATGCAAAATTAAGTACTTCATCTTGGGAGAGGTTCATGGAATGGAGGAGACTTGAAGTTTAAGCCGTGGCATTTTCACAGAAAATGCATCTCTAGTGACAAATGGACTAATGTACTGAGTACTGTGAAATCTCTGAAGAGTGACCAGTGATTTCTGCTGGGAAAGTCAAAGATTTCATAAAAGGGATAAATTATGTGTGTGAGATTACCCAGAGGAAGGAAAGGGACTGTAGGTGGAGGAAACGCGCTGAAACACAGCTTAGAAAAAGCTCGAACCCATGTGTGGGATAGTAAGAAAGACTTTTTGGCTGCTGTGGGGTGGGATGGGGAAAGCCTGAGGACGTGTTAGAAACGCAGCCGCTCAGGCTCCTGCCCAAACTTACCCAATTAGAAACTCTGGAGATGGAGTAGGAAAATCTTTGAGTCTGGTGCAGCTGAAGTTTGAAAATCAATACTAGAAAATTACTTGAACTCGGCCAGTGTGGCTCCATGGTTGAGCGTAAACCCATGAACCAGGAGATCTACCGTATTTTTCGGACCATAAGACGCACTTTTTTCCCCCCAGAAGTGGGGGGGGAAAGTCCCTGCGTCTTATGGTCCAAATATAGCCTACACATATACTTTTAAAAAAAAGTTTTTTTACTTGCCCGGCTCTGTGTGGTCTCTGTGTGCTTGCCCAGCTCTAAAATGGTTCTAAATGCTGCTGTTTACTTTACAGGGTTGATTACATGTGTTTATGACTGTGATGTTGGGTTTTAATGCACATAAAATATTTTAGGACACTATTTGTTTCAGAATCTTTTTTTCTTCATTTCCCTTCTCTAAAAACTGGTGCGTCTTATGGTCCGGTGAGTCTTATGGTCCGAAAAATACGGTAATTCAGTTCCATCCCAGTCAGAGCATATGCCTGGGTGGCAGGCTTGATCCCCAGTAGGGGGCGTGCAGGAGACAGCTCATCAATGATTCCCTCTCATCACTGATGTTTCTCTCTCCCTCTCTGAAATCAATAAAAACATACTTTAAAAAAGAAAGAAAGTTACCTGAGCATCAGATGAAGCTATTTTATTAGTACAAATATAATTTCAGGCTGTTATACAATTAAAGGAAGATAAGAAAAAAGGATTATGACAGAATGAAAGAGAGCTTTCTCCTCATCTCATACCCTAAAATAAATTACAGATAAACTAAAAAGTTAAGGTAAAAATGGGTAGGAGAACATTATTTCAACATAAAGACAATGATAGAACCTGGAAAGGAAAAAATTGATAGGCTTGCTTTTGCAACAATTTAAAACATTTGTAACATTAACAAAATTAAAAAGAAAACAAACTTGAACCTGGACAGGTTGCTCAGTTGGTTAGAATGGTGTCCCATTGGGTTAAGATTGTGGGTTCCATCCCGGTCAGGGTACATACAAGAACCAACCAATGAGTGCATGAATAAGTGGAATAATAAATCAATGTCTCTACGCTATCTCTCTCTTCCCTCCCCCGTCTCAAAATCAATAAATAAAAAAAAGAAAAAGAAAACCAGAAATATACACAACATGTATCTCAGACAAAAAGCTAAAAAGTTTAATTTTTTAAAAACTGTAGAAAAATGGGCAAAGGACACAAACTGAAAATTCACACATACAAAAATACAATAGCAATAAACACATGAGAAAATATTCAAGTTCACAAAAAAACAAGAAATGCAAATCAAAATGGAATAGTATATTTTACTTAGCAAATTGACAGAACATTTCTTTTTTGTCTTCGCCCAAGGAGTGGGGATTTTTTTCCATTGCTTTTTATTTATTTTTTTAATATTTTTTATTTACTTCAGAGAGGAAAATGGAGGGAAAGAGAGACAGAAACATCAACGATGAGAGAGAATCATTGATCAGCTGCCTCCTGCACACCCCACCCACTCTGGGGATCAAGCCAGCAACCCAGGTGTGTGCCTTAACTGGGAATCGAACCCTGACATTCTGGTTCATATGTAGGGTCGAGGCTCAACCACTGAGCCACAGCAGCCAGGGCACCAGAACATTTTAAAAGATGGAAGCAACTTAAATGTCTACTATTTAATTATATGGTCACTTATATTGGAATCCCAAGATGCAATTAGCATTAAGAGCACAAGGAATGTTCACGCTACATGAAATAAAAGGGGGGAAGCTGTTACGAAATAATATAAACCAATAAAATATTCATTAAAAAAACAAATCTATATCAATAAAGATGTAAAAATAAGGGACACATATTGAACAAAATGTTTCTATGGTTAGCTCTGGGTTGTAGAATTGATACATTTTTTGTTGTTCTTCTTCTTATACCTTTTTTGTTCTTCAGATCCTTCTATTGTCTCCATTAGATGATAAACATGCACCCTTTTTCTAATCATGGAAAAAAATAAGCTATACTACAAAGTGTTGCCAAAAGTTGGAAGAATGATGATTCAATATCCCCTCAAAGTATAACAGAATATAACAAAGTATATTCTAAAACAGAATGTAGAAGCGAATAACAGACTGGTATTCTTGAGATTTGGTTTTATCCTCACAGCCACCATCCTCAAGAGGAAGAACAGGAAAAGGAAGATTTAAAAATCAAACTGGCCGAAACCGGTTGGGCTCAGTGGTAGAGCGTTGGTCTGCGGACTGAAGGGTCCCAGGTTCGATTCCGGTCAAGGGCATGTACCTGGGTTGCGAGCACATCTCCAGTGGGGGGTGAGCAGGAGGCGGCTGGTCGATGTTTCTCTCTCATCGACATATCTAGGTCTCTATCTTTCTCCCTTCCTCTCTGTAAAAAATCAATAAAATATATTTTAAAAAATCAAACTGAAAAACATACAATCACAGGATCTCAAGTTGCCTCTGATTCATGATTATATTTAATGACATGTAAACATTGGGATGCTCGTATTTACTTTGTTGGGTAAATAGCGTGGGCTTGTTTGTTAACGTAATGAGGGTGGTGTTTGCTCTCACTATGAAATGTATGTTTTGGAACAGAACTTCAACCTTAGAATGTAAAGGTTTTGTTTGGCATGGGCCACAATGAGCAAAACACTAATTTCAAATGGTCCCATAACACCCCCTTGTGGCTTCCACTATATCAGATTGGGCAATACCCAACCAGCCAAGAGGGAGTGATACACACTTCTCTTTATAAATTCAGCAGACGTGTGCATTCCCTAGTCTGTGCCAGGTACTAACTATACTAGGATAAAATGCCCTTAAATTTCTTCCTACTGTATTCAGGCCTTGCTAGCATTCGAAAATATCCATTTTATTTAGGCTGAGCACACACAGAAGTTATGAGGCCAAGAGTTGAACCTCACAAACTAGTGTTTTGCAAATATGGCTTTACCTCCTGGGAGATAGTTGAAGAGATGCTGGAGTAAGGTCTGTGATTATTACTATCCAGCTGTTGGTTGGTATGTAATCAGAAAAAGCACTGTGGGTGTGGATAAAATGAGCTGGATTACAGCCCTGACTATCCCAGTGACTTTGAGCACCTGTTAATCCACATGGGAATCATTCATCCACTTAACAGTTTGGTGCTGATGCTACAAAAAGGAAAAAGACCTAGTCTCTAGATCTTTATAAATTTACTCTTCTAATTTGCAAATTGGAACTAACCATCTCAACTTGTCAAAAAGGTTAAATATATGGCCACTCTTGGACAGAAATCTTCATTTTTTTAAAAATGTTTTTAGACCTGGCCAGTTTGTCTCAGGGGATAGAGCAATGTCTCATAAGACTGAAGGGTCCCAGGTTTGATTCAGGTCAAGGGTAGGGACCTCAGTTGCAGGCTCGATCCTGGCCCTGGTCTGGGACCCATGTCTCTCTCCCTTCCACTCTCTCTAAAAAATCAATGGGAAAAATATCCTCAGACGAGAATTAACAACAACAAAACAAAAACTCTGTTTTCATTGATTTCAGGAGAAGAAGAGATACAAACAACAATGAGAATCATCTATCACCTGCCTCCTGGCAGGCCCCCTTCTGGGGATGGAGCTTGCAACCGGTGCATGTGCCCTGACCAGGAATCTAACCACGACCTTCTGGTTCATGGGGCAAGGCTCAACCACTGAGCCGCTCCGGCGCGGCCGGACATCTTCACTTTCGAACCCGTATCCACAAGTGTGTTTATGCTTATTTAGTTTAATCCTCTCCATATCTGCTCATAGAAACTCACGGAAAAGGAATCAGATAGTCTGATCCAATCCCTATCATTTCATTATTTATTCCCACCAAGATTTCGGAAGGAGCCAAGGGATCCGGCTGCAGCCTATGAATAATAAAAACTCACGATCTTCCAAGAGTTTTCCCCAGGGCCCCGGGACAGCACTGCAGCCCCGTGAGGCTCCTGGACCAACGTCACTAAAACCATGACGCGAGGGGGTGCCCTTTCCGTTGTGCCCTGCAGGCAGCTGCCACTCGCAGGGGGTTGCCAGGCCACGTGCCCAGCCAACCCGTGCAAGAGCCTTCCCGCGCGTCCCCTGGAGGAGGCGGTGGGAAAAGGCTGCTGCCAGCGCCGGACGCTTCTCCCACTTTTTCCCGGGCGGGAAGGGGCAATCCCCGCCTCTGCCCTCCCCCCCACCCCCATCGCCCAGCCAGGAGCCTTTCTGGGGATGGATCGCCGGCCGCACAGGGAAGGGGCGGTCCCACACGCCCAAGGGGCCTGCGGCGGCGCAGAGGCGCCGGCAGGGGGCGCGGTGGCCCGGCCACCCCCGGGGCTGGAGGCCGGTGGTCCCTCCCAGGCCGGTCCGCGAAGCCGCGCGGCCCGCTCCCTTGTCCCCACCGTCCCGCCGTCCCCTCCCGGCCTCCGGCGCAGGCGCGGAGCGGGCGGTGAGTGCGGCCGCGGAGCCGGCCCGGGGCCTGGCGGGCGGGCGTGGGCGCGCGGGAGGGAGCGGGGCCGGCCCGGCGGAGCGGAGCGCCGGGGCCTGAGCGGCGCGGCCCGCAGCCTCCCTGTGCCCGCGGGCGGGCTGCGCGGCCCCTCCGGCCATCCCCTCCGGCCACCCGGGAGCCACGGCGCGGCTGACCCGCGGGCCCGGGGCCGGGTGAGTGCGGGAGGGTCCGCCGGGCGGCGCGGGGCTGCTGCGGGCACCGCGTGCGGGCGCGGCTCCAGCCCGAGGAGGCGGGGAAGGCCGGGTGGCGGCCGGGAAGCCTAGCGGCTGCCTTCGTTCCCCGGCGGGATGGCGGCCCCCTCCCCCATCGCGGAGCGGTTCCACCGCCGGTGACGCCGCCACCCGGCGCCCCGGGCCCCTAGTGTCGGCGCTAGCGGGGCCGCGCGGGTCCTGGCTTCGGGCCGGCGCCGTGGGTGCCGCGCTGGCAGCGGGCCCCGCCGGGCGGCGGGCGCCCCGAGCTCCCTCCCTTCCTTCCTCCCTCCCTCCCTCGGGCCGCGCAGCCCCGAGCTCCCGCCTGGAGCTATCTGCAGCCGGTGGAATAAGCCACTCCTGAAACGAAATCGGGACTTTTTAAAAACGCCTTGGGACACGGGGAAAAATTGTTGGAAATCGGAACTGTCCCGCCAAAAGCGGGACGATCTGGTACACCTCTCTTGATTTTGGGGTGTGTGTGTGTGTGTGTGTGTGTGTGTGTGTGTGTGTTTCAGTGCAAGGATGCGAGTCATTTGAAGCAGTTTTTTCTTTGCAGAGGCAAAGACGGACACACAAGTTGGACATAGACGGGGGTTCTGATTCAAGCTCTCCTGCAACATTTTTTTGTGTGTGTTTAAATTCATTTAAAAACCTGGAAAACATCTACTTGTTTTTAAAATGTTCTCATTGATATTTTTTTTTAAAGAAAGAATGAGAGGAAAGGAGAGGGATCTAGAGAGAATCATCGTGGAGGGAAAACATCCTGACCAGCTGCCTCCTGCACGCCTCCTGCTGGGGACCAAACCCTCAATCCGAACACGCGCCCCGACCCAGAATCCTAGGACCTCCTGGTTCCTAGGTAGGCGCTCAAACACTGAGCCATTCGGGTTGGGCCATTTAATTATTTTTAAATGAATGCGGAAAAGAACGGTGGTTTTAAAACTTTGGTATAAAAATGTAGCATTTTTTGTGCATGCTTGTTTTATTTTTATACTAGTTAGGAACAGGATATTTACATTGCCTGAAAGGCCTTTTAAAAAGGTGGTGCCTATTTAGATGTGTAGTCTGTTTTGTGGGTAAATATTCTTATTGTTGAAAAAGTGAGAGTGGAGGGAAGAGGAGAGCAAAACATTGATTGGTTGCATCCCGCAGGTACCAGAGCTGGGCCAGTAATCGAACCTGCAACCTAGGTACATGCCACTGACTGGGAATTGAACCCAAGACCCTTCGTCTGCTAGCGGAGAGTCTAAACACTGAGCAAAGCTGGCCACGGCCTGACATGTATTTTGTAAGTTGCTTTTTAAAATCGTTTGTTGTGACATCTCATTTTTGTACATGTAAATTAATGTATGCCTTAGAAAAGGAAAATGTCTAGAAGTCTATACGCCAAAATGTTAATATTGTTTTTTCTGGGTGTATAGATTCTAGGTGACTTGATTAACTTAAAAATGTTTTTCTAATTTTCCTGCAGTGACATGTATCTATAGTTTGATTCAGAATCTTCCCCACGAGGTGAGGACTAGTGAGCAAACATTTATATAACGTACCTAAGTAAAAGCTAAACTTCATCTGGGCAGTTGTGCATACAAAAAGCACATGAAAACTTTTGTTGAAATAAAAGATGGTTAAAAATGTTTGGTCTTGCCGAAACCGGTTTGGCTCAGTGGATAGAACGTCTGAAAGGTCCCAGGTTCGATTCCGGCAAGGGCATGTACATTGATTGTGGGCACATCCCTGGTGCAGGGTGTGCAGGAGGCAGCTGATCAATGTCTCTCTCATCGGTGTTTCTAGCTTTCTATCTTTCTCCTCTCCCTACCTCTCTGTGAAAAAGCAATAAAATATATTTTTTTTAAAAATGTTTGGTCTTGAGTGGGCATTTTACCACCTCGCTGAAAGGAGGTCTGATAAGCATTTAGATACTCTTCAGCATTAAGTAGGAATCAAATCTTTTTCTGATCAAGGTGATCCTATTTTACCTAATAGTCAGAATCCAGACCAGCTTGCAACATTAATTTTAATGCCGTCCTCGGTTTCCTTTTCTTTTTTATTCTTCATTCAAAAGAATTTGAAGAGGATTGTGAAGTAAAGAGAGGCTACTTGAACATGTTTGGCTACCAATTTTCAGTGTTTTCCCAGCTACCTGTAGAGCATTTAGAACATGAAGTGTAAGGCTTTTAGCTGTTTAAATTTTGGAAGTGTAAAAAAGACATAGTAAGTCTTGAAATGTTGGTTTATTACATAAAAATGAAAACAGTGTTTCTTTTACTTTTGAATGCACTTGATTGGGATGGGCTCAAGAAATGCTATTTGTGCCGAAACTGGTTTGGCTCAGTGGATAGAGCATTGGCCTGTGGACTGAAGGGTCCCAGGTTCGATTCCAGTTGAGGGGCATGTACCTTGGTTGCGGGCACACCCCCATTGGGGCATGTGCAGGAGGCAGCTGACCAGTGTTTCTAACTCTCTATCCCTCTCTCTTTCTCTCTGTAAAAAATCAATAAAATATATATTTTTTTAAAAATGCTATTTGTTAGGTGAGGCATTATATATATTGATATCATTTCTATATATCTCATGATTGTCAGTTTTTTTGGGTGGTTCCCTTCCCCCTTCTCTGAATTGGTGGCTAAGAACTGGAAGCAAGATGTAACTTGCTGGTAGCAGAGATTGACAGTGAAGATTTACTCACACAGTGAGCTGTTCAAAACCCATGTTTGTGGTGTGTTTTTTTAAATCCCTGGTTCTGCCACTTAGTTGACTTTTACTGAGTCTGTTTGATCATTAGTAATATTGAGTTGGTTTAGTAGTAGCTTCTCTATGTACCTCACAGCATTGTTGTGAAGATTAAATAAAATAAGTGTTAGGAAAATTCTCAATAAACTAAAAGGCACTACTTATTACCATATGATAACATCCATTGTGGTGCTAATATACCCAGGACTTGGTGAAAGCAGCAAAAATAATGTGTGCCTCTATTACCACTAATGATTTTAAGGTAGTGTAGTAGATTTTGCATATCACAGGATTAAGTAAGATAAGGCATAGCCTGGTACATAACTGGTGCTCAATAAGTGATCATTATTCTTCTATTGGTAAGTAATCTATAAGGACTTAAATAGTAAAAATCTGTGATTTGGTATTTGCTTTTTTATTATGGCTGAATAAATTTGTGCAAAATTGCATTCCTATTTTGGTGTTAAGATTTAGCTTTAGAAGGTAAATTCATTCAAAGAAATAGGGCACATTTACACATACATATTTAGTAGTATATACAGTTTTGAGTACTTACTACAGCATATTCAAAAGAATATTATTCTTGAATTAATTCTGTATAACTTTCCAGTTGATTAAAGATCTTGGTATCATTGTATTCTTGAGTCTCAGAAATGAACTACATTGTGACTTATATCATATTTTTCCTACAGGTACTTTTTACCATCTGTGAAAACTTGGCTGTAATTCAGTTTTCTTCACTTCCATATTAAGAACTATATCAGTAAGTGGAATGTGGCAAAATGAATGAGTCAATTTTATAACAGTCCATGAGAATTTAATTATACATTAGATTATTGCTATATATGTTTTGTTCTCAGTAGATTGTTAAAAGTGCCTCATTAAGTAAGAAAATGGTTTTTTTTTGTTAAAAATTATATTTTGAGCTTCAATGTGATGGATATTTTTCCTGGGAGCCAGGGAATCAATACGGATTTGTGAAAACATTTTTTTTTAAGCGACCATATTCACCTTTTGCTTTAAAACTATCAAAATTTTCCCAGCTTTAAAAAATGCACCTGTTTTGTTCATAATATGGTATCATAGGCACAGTTTATTTTTTATTAAAAAAAGTAATTTAAGCATAAGGCTTATTGTAATTATCCAATTCTCACAATTACATCAAGACTTGAAAAAGAGTTCTCAAACTCAAGAAGAAGAGGAAAAAACACAGAAATTTGAGTCTTTCCTTTAAACTTGATTAGAAAAATAAATTTAAAATATAAACAAGCATTTTTTAACCTTTCTCTTATGAAGTACCGTATTTTTCGGACCATAAGACGCACTTTTTTCCCCCCAGAAGTGGGGGGAAAAAGTTCCTGCATCTTATGGTCCAAATATAGCCTACACATATACTTTTAAAAAAAAAGTTTTTTTACTTGCCCGGCTCTGTGTGGTCTCTGTGTGCTTGCCCGGCTCTAAAATGGTTCTAAATGCTGCTGTTTACTTTACAGGGTTGATTACATGTGTTTATGACTGTGATGTTGGGTTTTAATGCACATAAAATATTTTAGGACACTATTTGTTTCAGAATCTTTTTTTCTTCATTTCTCTTCTCTAAAAACTGGTGCGTCTTATGGTCCAGTGCGTCTTATGGTCTGAAAAATATGGTAGATTTTCAGGTGGCACACATTTCTTATTGCTGATCATTTCTTTTGTTAGAAGGAATTTTTATAATAGTAACAAATAGTTACTTCTGACATATTTGTTAAATTTTTTCATTTTTAGATTGAAAAGATATGAATGACTACCCTAAAAAAAGAAAAAGGAAAACTTTACACCCTTCTCGTTATTCAGGTTAGTGAATTATTTTATAGTTGAGGCATGGATTAATTTCTATGCAATTGTACTCCAATCTATTTTCTCATAAATAATCAGATAAAATTTACATATCTGAATCAATTTTTAAATAAGAGAAAATTTTAAATAATTCTGAGTATAAATTCTTCTTTGTCTAGCACGTGTTAGGTACACATCAGAACTCTAGACATTTAATCCTCACAACTTCAGGGTTTATAGATATTTAAAGTTAAATATCAAAGTTTGGATACTTATACAGCATAATTGAAATTTGTCTGTGTGCTTCCCAACCTTGTGCTTAAGCATAACAATAACCTTGTTAGAATATATTTTGTGCTTTGCAAAAAAAATTTTTATTCTATATATTACTTTCAGAAATGTGAACTTTTATTTTGATTTTGTAATGTTAGGTCCTTTGTTGATGTTAATTCTGCTATCTTGGCAGTATTTAAAAGAGGTCTTGCCCGGCCAGCATGGCTCAGTGGTTGAGCATCGACCTATGAACCAGGAGGTCATGGTTCGATTCTCTATCAAGGCCCATGCCTGTGTAGTGGGCTTGATCCCCAGTAAAAGGCAGTCAATTAATGTTTCTCTCTCATCATTGATGTTTCTATCTCTTTCCCTTTCTCTTCCTCTCTGAAATCAATAAAAGTATTTTTATTTTTTTAAAAAGGAAAAGAGATCTTTGTGATCATCTGTAATATACCTCACATGTATAGTACTTGGAACAATCTCAGGCATACATGTTAGCCCACCCAATCTACACATTCTTCATATCTAAGAAAATTAAATCTGGTAATTTACTACTTACTGACCACTCCCAGACAAAACTTGAAATGGCTATAGTCAGAAGCCCTAACTGGTCCTCCCACTATTTTTCCTTTCCATGAATGCTTTTTTTGTACTTCAGAGAATGTCTTCTTGGAGTTATTTTAGGTTTGGGCGTATTGCTTTATTTTTTGCAATTAACACATTAATTACATATTTTTATTTTTTGGATTTAGACAGTAAAGTATCTTTATACCTATGCTACAAAGTATTATATTTTTATATTATATAATTTGTGGTTCTTTCAAAACTCAATGTTAATATCAGGTCTGAAATATAAAAGCTATCAGAATTAAGGGAACTGTTACTGTATTACAGATACTATAAAAATTTATGTATGTTGGATAAAGGGGTGGCTGTCATAAATGTATATGTTTACTGTGCTTGAAATTTTTAAAATTTTGTTTTATGTTCAGATTCCTCTGGAATAAGCAGAATTGCAGATGGATTCAGTGGAATCTTTTCTGATCATTGTTACAGTGTCTGTTCTATGAGGCAACCAGACTTAAAATATTTTGACAACAAAGGTATATCTAATATTTTCCAAAATACGTTTCTTTAAATTACTTTTATAATTATTTCTTACTTATTTGAAAATAAATGTGGGTGAGTTATGATTTCAAAATGGGCAAGTGTTTAAATTTGTTTAAATGCAAGAAAACTATCTTTTTGTAATAAAGCAAGTAAGTGAATTTTAATTTTTAACATTATTTCAGATATATTTAAAAAAAAAAGTACATTTTTCCTAAATTTATTTTAGCTGGCTCGGAATTGATGGCAAAGCAGGAGTGATGCAGAGTTGATAGTATTAATGTTAGTTAAGAATATTAATAAAAGTTAAGAGACTATTAATAAAAGTTAAGAATAGTGTTATAGATGGTTCTTTCACTCAACTATACCTTCCAGTCTGGAGGGCTAATGGAAGGAAAGAACAGAGTAAAGGTTTGGTCTTCTTCAATCTTTCATCTTCTGTTGGCTACTCTTTTCTAGAGCATTTGTTTTCTCTCTCCTCTCTAACCATCAAACTTGGGTTTGTTTTCTCTCTCCTCTGTAAACATCAAAATTCTCAGTTTTCTTGAGTTCCTGTTACAGACACAGAAACATAAATTATTAAAGGTAATATGGAATCAGAGACATCAGTGTGAACTCATGTTTGGCTTGATATAGACACAGATGTAACATACAGAAATATTTGTAAGTATACAAATGTGGTGGTATACACAAACATATGTTTTTGTTTCATTGTCTGAGAGGGCATAAAAGAAATGACACCCAGTAGCAGTGAGCACATCTAGTGTTGGGATCTTGGTGTCTAGTATCATTCTCCATTGAAAGGAACTAGGGCTTCTTGGAGAAATGCCTACCGCTTACTGACCCCTTCCAGACAAGACTTGGGAAGAAACAAATTTCTTGCACAGAAAAATTCCAAATTATTTATGTAGATTCTGCTCTCACAAGGAGGTGGAATATAAATCCTTATTTCTGAAATGTGGACTCTACAATGTCCCCCTTCCAAAGCACAGAGTAAATGAAAGTAAAAGAATGACTTTACAGCGGAGAAATCTGATAAACACTACCTCAACCAGGTGATCAAAGTCAACATCGGCAATAATAAATCATGTTAATCAAATGTACCTTTGATAAGTTGTGATAAAATGGCAGTTTGCCTCTGTGGTCTGCTCTCAATAACCCATAATCACAGTTGAGTCATGCAAACACAACAGATGCATTTTAATAGTGGGGCATCCTACAAAATACCTGATCTGTTCTTGATATTGTCATGGTCATCAAAACCAAGGAAAGTCTGAGAAGCTGCCAGAGCTAACAGTAGCCTAGAGAGACTTGACAGCTAACTGCCATAGGGGATCCTGGAACAGAAAAAGGACATTAGCTAAACACTAAGGAAATCTGGAGGAAGTATGGATTTATTGGCAATGGCCATGAATTGTAACAAATGTACATTACAATATGTTAATAGTGGAGAAACTGCAGGATATATGGGAATTCTCTGTACTCAAAATTTTTCAATAAATCTTAAACATCAAAAAATAAAGTATATTAAAAACAACACTGCGGATGTGGCTCAGTGTAGTTGAGCACTGACCCATAAACCAAGAGGTCATCTATTCCTAATCAGGGCACATGCCCGTGTTGTAGGCTCCATCACTAGTATGGGATGTGCAGGAGACATTTGATCAAATGTTTCTCTCTCATTGATGTTTCTATCTCATTCTCCCTCTCCCTTCCTCTCTCTCTCTAAAAACTCAGTAACATTAAAAAATAACAATGATGTCAGGTTGAAGCCCAGTGTTCTCTACTGACCTGTATTTCAGTTTATCCATGCTAACTTTAAAACATTGGGGCTGGGCTGAGGGGATAAAGGCTTATTCAAATTTAGTAACATTAAAAAGTGTGTTCTAGCCAGGACCGGTTTGGCTCAATGGATAGAGCGTCGGCTTGGGGACTGAAGGGTCCCAGGTTCGATTCCGGTCAAGAGCATGTACCTTGGTTGCAGGCATATCCCCAGTAGGGGGTGTGCAAGAGGCAGCTGATCGATGACTCTCTCATCGATGTTTCTAACTCTCTACCTCTCTCCCTTCCTCTCTGTATAAAATCAATAAAATATATTTAAATAAATAAATAAATAAAATAAAAAGTGTGTTCTAGTTCAAATGGGGCATGGAAGCAAAAGCATTTACTTGTTTGGACAAATTTTTTTGTGTGTCTGTGATATACATAACATCTTCAAATCAAAGTCGTTATTCCTGTTGGAATTCAAAATTATATTTAAAATATTTGGTGCTTTTAACATTTAATTTTTAACATTTAATTTAATACTTTGATATAAACAATAAGTGTTTCCAAATTTCTCTTTACAGATGATGATTCTGATACAGAGACATCGAATGATTTGCCAAAATTTACAGACGGAATCAAGGCCAGAAACAGAAATCAGAACTATCTGGTTCCCAGTCCCGTACTTAGAATTATAGACCACTCTGCCTTTTCTACAGGTTAGGGAAACTAACTAATAGCATTTGCATATTCTTATACATCATTGAAGAGATAATGCATAAAATAAATTTTTGCCAGTTATTTATTTAGTAGGTTTTATTTAGTAATAGTAATAATAGTCTTGTTTTATTTTTTCAGAAAAATCGGTTGATGTTGAAATTTGTGATGAGGAGTGTGACTCACCAGAATCACTCACCCAACAAACTCAAGAGGAGAGTCCTATAGAAGTTCACACTGCTGAAGACGTTCCAATTGCTGCAGAAGTGCATGCAATTTCTGAAGATTACGATTTAGAGACAGAAAACAATTCCTCTGAGAGTCTTCAAGACCAAACTGATGAAGAGCCACCAGCTAAAATTTGCAAAGTTCTTGATAAGAGCCAAGCTCTCAATGTGACCGCCCAGCAGAAATGGCCTTTGCTGAGAGCTAATAGCAGCGGCCTCTATAAATGTGAACTTTGCGAGTTCAACAGCAAGTATTTTTCTGATTTAAAGCAGCATATGATCCTAAAGCATAAGCGTACTGATTCAAATGTGTGTCGAGTGTGCAAGGAAAGTTTCTCTACCAACATGCTTCTGATCGAACATGCCAAACTGCATGAAGAGGATCCCTACATTTGTAAATACTGTGATTATAAGACAGTGATTTTTGAGAACCTCAGCCAGCACATTGCCGACACCCATTTTAGTGATCACCTTTATTGGTGTGAGCAGTGCGATGTACAGTTCTCCTCAAGCAGTGAGCTCTACCTGCATTTCCAGGAGCACAGCTGTGATGAGCAGTACTTGTGTCAGTTCTGTGAACATGAAACAAATGATCCAGAAGACTTGCATAGCCACGTGGTAAATGAACATGCATGTAAATTAATAGAGTTAAGTGACAAATATAACACTGGAGAGCATGGACAGTACAGCCTCCTGAGCAAAATTACTTTTGACAAATGTAAAAACTTCTTTGTATGTCAAGTTTGTGGTTTTCGGAGTAGACTTCATACAAACGTTAACAGGCATGTTGCTATTGAACATACTAAAATTTTTCCTCATGTTTGTGATGACTGTGGCAAAGGCTTTTCAAGTATGCTAGAATATTGCAAACATTTAAATTCACATTTATCCGAAGGGATTTATTTATGTCAATACTGTGAATATTCAACAGGACAAATTGAAGATCTTAAAATTCACCTAGACTTCAAGCATTCGGCTGACTTACCTCATAAATGTAGTGACTGCTTGATGAGGTTTGGAAATGAAAGGGAATTATTAAGTCACATTCCAGTCCATGAGACAACTTGATTATTCTCTTTAACTTCCATAATGCTAATGTAAAATAATAAATATAACATTTTTGGAGATGCTAAGGATGATTTTAAACAATTAAGCAAGATTTTTAATAGTTCAATTCTTTTGGCATGGCTACATTTTTCAGTATATGAATGTATCCAAAATGTATTTTCAGTGCATGGTAGCTCATAGTTTTAACCACTCCTGGGGTTTATTATCCTGTACATGTGCTCTGATTTCATGAATGGATAAGAACCAGATGTACTAAAAATACTAGACTTGTTTTCCTTCCATAACCATTGGTGCTGTTAACTTTAAAACTCAAGACAAGCTTAGTTTTTCATGAATGAAGACAGTAAAATACTGCAGTACCAAAACTAAAATGTAACATAATATACAATTAAGTCTACCAGTACTCCCATTAATAAGATTCCAGATCCTCCTTTTGCATTGCCCATAAGTAATTATCCTCAGGGCTCTCCATCTGAGTGATTCTTTTAATAACACTAGAAGGCCAGTGTTTTTGGCAGTCTCCCCCCCCCCCCCACTTTATTTTAGTCCTTATATACATTAAATGGTGTATATATGTTCAAGAATTTAAGGTGGGGATGGGGAGGAACTGGCAAGGGATTAGACAATGAAAAAGTAAAATTTCATAATGCTTAACCTGTTCACATTTCACTTTCAGTTATACAACTGCAAAGTCCAAATTTTTGATTTCCACTTATTTGTTAACTATGAAATTCCACAGAAGTATTAACAGGAAGATCTAGGCAATAATAATGTACACATTACTTTCGATAAAGGTAAAAGAATGTTAGCTCTATATTAATTTCCTGTGGCTGCCATAACAAAATCACAAACTGTGTGGCTTAAACAGTAATGCATTGTCTATTTTAGAGCTTAGAATTTGAAAATTGAAATGCTGGCATAGTTTGTTCCTTCTGAGACCTGTGAGGGAAGGATCTGTTTTGAGCCCCTCTCCTTGGCTTGTAGATGGACATTCTCGTTCACATGGTGTACTCCCTATATGCAAGTCTGTCTCCAAATGTCCCCTTTTTACAAAGACATCAGTTCTGTTGGATATGGTAAAGACCAATATCCCCAAATTTTGAGGTACTGGGTCCTACAACTTCAACATATGAATTCTGAGGAAGGAGGGAGACACAATCACAATTCAAAAGCAGCTTCTTAAATAGTATAAAGAAGGTAAAATTTTGCATATCATTGGCTTCAAATTTAATAAAAACTGCAGCTAACAATGTTGTTCAGGAATATAGATACAGTTGAAGAAACCAGTTTATGACCTATGATTTTTCCACTTCAAAAACAATGGGCATTTAATCTATTTTGAAAATGTTGGCAGCAAAAAGTACTTTTAGAACCAATCATTTGTTTCTCTACTGTTTTGTCATATATGTGTATCTGTATTCTTACAAACTGCCATCCCATCTGATTTTAACTTTCCAGGCAGGGCTGTCTCATACAAATGTTTAAATAGTTTGAATTAGAAACCATCTCATCTAAACCCTCTGGTTTTCTAAGTTTCTTGTATAAGTAGAAACTTAGGTTGTTGTTGGGTCAAGGACACAAAACCATTAGAGCCGACAGGATGGAATCCAAGTTATTTGGCTCTGGTCTAATGTTTCCATTACACTATGTTACATAAAAATGTAAACTTTGTCCTTGGGGTATTTTTTCATGGCTACTTAATCTATCCATTCAGCTGCCTTCTTGGTAATTCTGTTTTTATACTTTTTTTGGTATACATCAAGCTCCAGGAGTTTAATTTTCAGGAAACAAATCTTAAGTAATGCCTTATTGGTTTTGTAAAATTCTGTAATCTATTGCTTTATTTTGATCAGGTGTTAGTAATCAAATTTAAAAAGACTTATGAAACTAAACATATTAAATTCAAGTTTTAAAAACATAAACATTTTGTATTTTTGATGAATCTGCAGCTTGAAGTGACATCCACCTGACCGCTTGTCCCAATAAAAACTTTTTGCTTTGATTCAGCTTTCAAATAAGTCTGTGACTGACTATAAATTGCTGAGGTAGCTGGTTTATATTTTTACTAAAAGGACTGCTTTAGGAAATCATATCTAAAAAGAAAATTTTCTAACTACTTTTTGGTTTTTTCCTCCCAAAATGGTATTTCCACGGTACTCTGACTTGAACCACAATTCAAGTATGAATGTTTTTTATTAGTACTACAATAGAATTCAGTGATCAGTAGTGATAGGTCTTTTTTTTTTCTTGCTCTTTTTATCTCCACCTTGCAATGAGTTACTATTGAAATCCTAAAGCATTTCTCTTGTACTCCCAAAATTTCGAGGTCATTGTGCACCACTCAAAAGACTCTCCCTATTGTAAATTTACCAGTTTTACTATTTTAAATCACCTTTCTTAGGTTTCTTTAAATCTATGTCATCACATAATAGTTCCTCAGTTCCACTGGGCCTGTAGCAGGTTATTAGGTATTTGCTGAATTGTTGGCAGGAGTAGTACATATAGGCTTTTCTTTTTCAACAGATTAACACTATCCTAATTTTTAAATCTGATTTACAAAGAATTGAATTATTCCTTACATTTAAAATTAATGAAGGGATGTAAGAAAGATTGGAGAATGCAAAGGGGGGATAAGTGTGTTAACTGAGATACACAAGAAAGGCACCAGCAGAGCTGGTTTAAAACCTTTCACTAAAGACTATAGGTCTGGGGCATGACTACCCACATGACCTGCCCAGTTAGGACTCTGTGATCAGACCTGGGATGCTACTTTCCACAGAACCCCCCCCCCCCCTATTTTTTTTTATTTATTTATTTATTTTTTTTGTCCACAAGAAGGAAAATATGTATTTATCCAGCTATACTCCCAACACTGTTTTAAGCACTTTACATGATTTGACCCATTTTCACAACAAACAAGGTAGGTGTTATTAGTACTCCAATTTTATTGATAAAGAACCTCAGGCTCAGGAAAATGAAGCGGCTTCACTTCAAAACGCATATCAGCATAACCAATGGACACAGACAATAGGGAGGTGGAAGGCCTGTGCTGGTGGGTGAGGGTGGGCTGGGAGAAGTCAATGGGGGACGGGAGGGAAGAAGACATATGTAATACTTTCAACCATAAAGAAGTAAAAAACAAAACTGCACCTTACTTGCCAGCTCTAAAGAAAGACCCTCAAGAATTGTGTTGAGCCCTACAGACCACCATCAGCCGCTCCCTAAGGATGTTAACCCAATGACTCAGAATCTGCAATTTAACAAGATCCCCAGCCCTGATCGGTTTGGCTCAATGAATAGAGCATGGGCCTGGCCTGCGGACTGGAAGGTCATGGGTTCGATTCCAGTCAAGGGCATGTACCTTGGTTGTGGGCACATCCCCAGTTGGGGGTGTGCAAGAAGCAGCTGATCGATGTTTCTCTCTCATTGATGTCTCTAACTCTGTCCCTCTCCCTTCCTCTCTATAAAAAAATCAATATATATTTTTAAAAACAAAATCCCAAGGTGATTCCTAATTACAAAGTCTGAGAAGAAGCAATAGACAAGGATGCATCCATTTCCTATGTCTCACTTTAAAGTAATTCAACACACACACACACACAGCTGTGCTCCAAGCCCAGAAACCCCGTTCAGGGCAGAGGGCAGTGAAGTGGCCAAAAGGCTTTCCTTCCTTTATTTCAGCAGGCGGGAATCCCTCGTGTCTGGTTGCTCCAACCCCACCTCACCCAACCTCCTCTTAGCTCTCCCTCCCTCAACTGGCCGCTGGCAGTTAGCAAAGAAGGGGCTGCGCGTGGCAACTCGAAAGGGAGAATCCGGAGGAGGCTGGAGCAGGAGGAGAGGGAAGGGAGGGTCATCGTCAAGTCATTCCTCTGGGAGCATGCTTCACCCACAACAAACCTTGCCTTCTGCCCGTAACAAAGATGGCGCCCTACGTGGGTGCACTTCCGGCCAGGCGACAGCCAATCACATTCCTTCAGAGCGAGAGGCCGGAAGTTACCGCCCCCTTGGCACTCCTCCTGCCTCCCGGCCTGCCAGACCGGGATGAGGTGGAGTGGGGGCTGCTGCCTGGAGTGCCGGGGCCGGTGACGAGTGGGAGCCAGGACGGTGTGAGTGTCATCTGCCTTGGCCGCCGGCCGGTTCCTTCGCCCGGGGTGACCTTCGTGCGGCCGGGGACGGGGCGGGGAGTCGTGCGCGGGTTGCTCTGTGACGAGTCGCCGCCGCCGCGGTCCTGCGGGACGGGAGCGAGCGAGTGGGGCGGCGGGCGGGTCTGGCCCGAGGAGCCCGCGAGGCCGAAGCCCGGGGAGCGGGAGCGGGAGCCGGTCCGGACGGCGCGCGGGGCCGGGTGGGCCTGGCCGCCAGCCCTGCCGGCGGGGCCCGCGGCCGCGGTGCCCGGCCTGGAAGGACTTCCCCAAGGTAGGCGCTGCCCCGGGAGGAAGCGGGCGCTGCCGTCGCCCTGCCGGCCCCATGCGGCTCCTTCGCCCTGTCCACTCCCGATCCTCAGCTTCCCTTAGGCCCACTCTGCCCCATCACACACACACACACACACACACGATGGATGTTTATTCTTGGGCTGTGTGTGTGTGTGTGTGTGTGTGTTTAGTGTCTTTTTCATGAGAGGCTGTCAGGGGAAATTTTGTTCCCTTTAAACTTCTGTTCCTTGAAGTTCGTGGACCCTGGGCAGGAAACGTCACTGCTCGCTTCAAGCCTTGCCCTTCTTAGTACTCGTTGTGAGAACTCCTCCTTTCTAAACCTCAGGACGGAAGAATGGCCTTGGCATTTTATGTCTTCATTCTGCATAGCCGCCTCCGCCCACCTAGAGCTCCGGGATGAGGCATCACTTACTGTAGGTGAACTTGGCTTCTCGCTAACCCTGTTCCTGATGCACTTTTTTAAGAGTCCCATGTAGTCGCAGGTTAGCCACAGTTAAGTAAAGTAGAAATTGCAGCCAAAATGTTGGCACTTATTTTGGGGGCAGACTCCTCCTCCAAAGCATCTCCGGTTGTCTGACCAAAACTCTTCTCTCCAGCGATTATGAAAACAGTTTCGGCGATTGGTTTTATTTCCCTGGGTAAGTTCACCGGTGTCGCCGGGGATGTGCCGTTGACTTGCAGGTGTTTGTGATCCAGTTTAATTTGTGCTATTTTATTCTTCTAACTCTTTTATTTTTCTCCCAGTAGCATAATGGCGGAGGATACTGCTTCTCCCCTGAAACGCTTTGTGCTGGCTAAGAAGGCAATTACTGCAATTTTTGACCAGTTACTGGAATTTGTTACTCAAGGTTCACATTTTATTGAAGGTTAGTTTCTCAGATAAGTTTTTCAGATAAAGGCTGTTGAGAATATACAGAGGGTGCATTCTTCTTTCAGCCTTAGTTCCTGAACACAAATATAGGGGCATTGTGGTATAGGCCATGAGAGATACCATAACAAATAAAACCCATCTTTGCCCTCCAGAGGAGGAAGATAAAATGGAATTAATAACAACTAAGAAATAAGTGCTTGTAGGGGAGGTAATATCCTAGCACTTTATTATATTAACAACACATTAAAAACTTAATAACTCGTTTTATATTTATTATATAAAATAAATTTTAACTATAATTATTAAATCAGTAACACTAATAGCTTATTTAGTCCTCATATCAACATTGAGGTACAATTTTAATCACACTCATTTTACAGATTAAAAAAAGCCCAAGACCCCCTCCCCTGGCCACGAGGGTCAGTTGGTTAGAGTGTCCTCCTACACACCAGCAGGTTGTGGGGTTGATTCCCAGTCAGGGCACATGCCTAGATTTTGGGTTCAATCCCTAGTCGGGGCACGTACAGGAGGCAGCCTGTCAATGGTTTTCTCTCACATCAATGTTTGTCTCTTTCTTCCTCTTTCCACAAAGCTAGTAAATGCCCAGACTAAAAATTAGGCAACCCACAGTTAGCCATTATACTTATCTTTCTCTTCTTCCCCCAACTAAGTAGTTAAGCCAAGATCTCGGGCCTATTTTATTCTCTCAAATGAGGCTGGGAGTCTGTGGGAAAGGACCAAAAAAGTCTTCCTAAAATGAATATAACTGATCCAACAAAGGTGGATAGGAGTGGCTTGCTAGGGATTACTTGCCTTGAAGATAACTGGTGAAAGCTTTTCTGGTTCCAAGAGTACAGGACCTTCAAGGGTACATTGATAAGGGAGGAATTCCAGAAATCTCTCGGTGACAATTGGGACACATTCAATAGATTAGTAGAATCAAACTTTACTTTTTCCTCCTTACCCTCCCTCACCAGATTTTGAACTCCTTGAGGGTAGAGATTCTGCCTTGTGTCTCTATCACCAAACCATAACACAATTCCAGGTTTTTTTGGAGTGAGAAAAAAAGTACTGGTGTAGAACATTTGGGAAAAAATTTATTTACAGTTTGGGAAAAATTTGAACTGGGACAGTGACTTTGAATTGTATTTTATTCTAAAACCGTTGATAGGAAGTGAAGATAAAATTAAATATATTTTGTGTTATGAGCTAGTTATAGATTGAGCGTCCTGCTAGGAGCTAGTGAATAGCAGCTTTAAAATCTGAATTCGATTTTACTGGTTTTAGAACCTCAGGGGAGGAAAGTTATGAAAAGAGACAAAGCAAATAAATTAGGAAGAATATACAAGAACAAGAATAAAATGAAAACAAAGGTGAATGTAATTGTATTTATTCATTTACTTAACTTTATTCACCAGACCTCATGTATTTTATTACTGAGCTTGAAAAGTATGAAGATATATGTAAGGCTTATGCTGAATAGATGAGTACTGGGTAAACTATATCATTGTTTTGTAACCAGAGAACCAATGGGGCCAGGCTGCCTGTTACTACTTGAGCCAATTAAGCAGAGACAAGATTGAATTACATATGAGTGTTTATGCCGGCGGTTTGGGAGAGCCACAGGTCATCCACAAAAATCTGCTCTGCAGCCCCCATAAGACAGCTGCTTATATTGGGTAGGACAAAGATTACATGGGG